TTACAGGCCTGTAAAAGATTTCCAGGGGTCAAGGAACAATTTTATTGAAAAATATCCTTCCTCTCTTCAAGAGGACAATTTTGCCAATGAGGTGACTGAACCCATCCCTTTGTCAAACAATGATTTTGATGATAACATTAAAGTTGGAGAATTTGGATACATCGCATCTGAAAGCACCAGCAGCCAAGGTGAAGCTAAGCCTTTAATTCTTTTAGAGGACGTGGATATCCTTTTTCCTGAGGATCGTGGTTTTATTTCTGCAATTCAAGAGATTGCTGACACAGGAAAGGTTCCCATAATTTTGACCAGCAATAGTAAGAGTGCTTATTTGTGGTTCTAATTTCATTTTGTAGTCATTTTACAGTTTGCAATGATGAATTCACTCTTGTTTTTATCCTTGAACTATAGGTAGCGATCCTGTTCTTCCTGTTAGGTTGGACAGGCTACAAGTCTCTTTAATACAACCATCATTAACGGAACTACTCAGCCATTTATATATGGTGTGTGCTTTTGGCTCATCTACTAATGACATATTGCTTGAATTTCCATTCGATTGATTCACTATTGCTTCCCTTTCAGATTTGTGCTTCTGAAGGAGTCAACATCCAAAAATGCTTACTTGAGCGTATTATTCATTGTTACCACAACGATATTCGGAAAGCCATTATGCATCTTCAGTTCTGGTGCCAGGGTAAAGGATTTAGAGGTCAGTCATGCTTCCCAAGTATAAATATGATTGTCGTCGTTAAATCTTCCTTTTCTCTGATTGTATTTTCCTTTTATATCATTTTGGCTGTCTATATGAGCACGACCACTCTTTGATTTCATAGTCAGAAACTAATCACTTATGGTCCAGTGATATGAAGGATTCTTTGCGTCCTTGAAGCTTACCTTGATAATAAGCCTGTCATGTAATATGTAAAGGCACGTTAACCGTTCTGATTGTGATATTGCAAGATTTTTTTTTTTAATAAAAAAAAACTTATCGGAAACCAATGGGTTTTAAAAGTTCTTTAAGTTTTCAAATATTTGAAGCGAGAACCTTGGAAGTATCTAGACATAAGTTGATACATCCAATTTCATTACTTCAAGGATATATCTTTTTCCTTTTAAAAAAAATGAAATAAAATAAAATTGTATATTATAAATTTATTGGAATAGTAACATTTTTAAGGTTCGACAGAAATACAGTTTTATTGAATAAAAGTTACTTTGTAGTCCAATAGTATTTTCAAGAGCATGAGTGAGAAATACACTCCGATATCTTTCAACACTAGGCTGTTTGCACGTGCACCTATTTTCCCCTCCCATACACAAACCCTCATCTTCTACCGTTAGTTTTCTTTACCATTGTTGGACTATGCGATGCTTTAATTGAAACGAGGTAATTGCTTCACTAAATGCCGATCCTGATGCTTTTGGAGAGAATATTTGGAAATGATTTTTATTTGTGTTGGTTATTTATCTTATGGACGTATTTGATTGTGCAGATAAAATTCAGAAGAAGTATGGCTCACTTTTATTTGATCTTGATGCTGGCCATCAGATACTTCCGGTGATAATGCCATGGAGTTTCCCATCTCAGTTATCAGTGCTACTTGACAAAGAGATCACAAAGTCGTTATTAAGAATGGAAACAACTTCTTGCTTGTTGGAAGCACGTGAAAGTGATTTTTATGAAGAGGAAATGCAGAATGGCCAGGACTCTCAAAATTATGAAAACAGTTATCTTTTAGAGGCCAAGAAGGCAGCGATGTTGAGTAGGAATGGCTCTATTCAAGATCACAATGACTTTGCAGTGAAGTTTGATGCTGCACATGAGTGTTCTGATATTTCAGGAACCACTATTCCTTTATCTAGTCAGAAGCGCCGAAGAAGGCTGGATATGGTGGTGTCTTCTGATTCTGAAGATGTGCATGTCAACAAGGAATGTTCTCAGGTCCCAAATAGAGATGACAGTATATTATTGTCTCACCAACCAGCACCTCCAAATTACTCGAGCCAATTAAATGGGCTGCTTTATCGTACGACAGATAATACTGTTGAAGATAATTATCCATGTTCAGAAACTGCAGGTGGTATAGATCTGAATGAGATGTTTATGTCTGTCACTACCTCATACGTGCCAGAGTCGATATTTGTTCCTGAGACAGAAATTCATGATACGGAGATGTTTACCGAAATGGCATCTCGTGGTGATGCTGGTGCCAGTCCAGAAGTTTCTATGAATGAGCTTTCTCAGAACGTGTTATCAGTTGAAGCCAATAGTTTCAATTCACCTACGCACCCCATACAAGAAACTACGGCTGTTTCGGAAAATTTTTGCAATGTATTTAATTCATCCCGCGAAGAGGGGGAAGAATTTTCTTGTAATGGACATATGGAAAACATTATCAGAACATATCCTGTGATGGATGAGTGCAGCCGTGTTGACTTTAACAAGTTCAAGCCTACAAAGAAACCTGATTTGAACGTATCGGGTGATTCAGTGCATAAATTGTGGAAACAACTTCGCCACCATCACTTAGATCTTCTAGGGCATCATATCGTGCCAGAAAAGCAAGAAACCATTCAGATTGTCGAATTAGTTCATAGAATGAGCCATCTAATTTCAGATTCAGACCTGTTGTTTTCTTCCTGCCAACTACAAGTAAGTGCTTTAACTTGCGTGTATGACGAATTAGTTTCCATAAAAGTAACCATATTTCTCTTTAGGATAAACCGACTTTTGTATCTGAAGAGCCAGACTCATTCTTCTCTGGAGGTCAGCAATTGCAAATGTCATCTACAATTGCTCAGCATGGATTTTGCTCCATTGTGAGTGATATTGCTACCATGGCTTCTCGTGTGGGCCTCGGTAGCTCGTTGGATATTGTACCAGAGATGCTTGCCTCTACGACCAATACAGCAGCATCGGGAAAATTAATGAGGCACAATATGATGGATAGCTCCTCTTCCACTAAGAAAGATAGTGAACTGAGCCTTCCAGAAAATAGTCATATGCAAGAGAGGTAAGACTGAAATCTCCATTCATATGGATATTTTCTCATCTGCTAGGATGATTTAGGTGGAAGTAGTGTTTATGAGCTTAATTCTTAAAAACAAAAAAGTTAATTGTTACCAATTGAGATTTTAAAGATCCAATCTTCATGATCTCAGTTACAAGAAAAACTTCTCACACTTGTACTAACTTCTAAATGTCTTTTGAGCAGAGATATGAAATCACGTCTCTTGGACGTAGTTCAGCATGTGGCTCCCAACAGATTGCATTTGGCATTGAAAGGTGTACAATTCTTCGAATATCTTTCTTCGTTGCGCTGCATTTCAAGATCAGAGACTCTACGTATCTCAAACGTCAATGGCAACGATAAGACGAAAAGACGAAGGTTTGTACCAATAATGACTGCATGATTCTTTCCAGTTTTACTAGAAACTCTTAGCTTTAAACCTTTTCCGATCCCTTAATAGTTTTTTTTGTTTTCTTTTGCTTTGTAATGTAGGGGTCGTGTTGCACAACACTACTTGAGCACTGGTTCTCGTCTCTTCTCCCCCGAAGATATAACGCTGCTAGGAGAATCGAACCTTCCATACAAAGATATTCATACTAACACCGTTAGGTTACTATGATATTAGTGAATAGCTGTAGGGAATAAAAAGCTAATGAGATAATGAATGGCTGCAGGGAATAAAAGGTTATTGAGAGTGAGGCCTTCATTACATTAGAAGATTAAAAGATTAGAAGATTAGAAGATTAGAAGATTAACTAGGTTGGTAGATAGTTTATGCTTGTAATTAAATTTCTTCCCATTTATTTCAAGTTTACAATTTTTTTAGTAACTTATTGATTAATTTTTAATACAAAATTTTTATTAAAAGAATATGTACAGATTATAATTCTTTTTTGCTTTTATTTGAATTCCTTGATAGAATGTCTTAATATAGTTGAATTGATTAAAATATATCATTAATTAAATTTGTGGTTCGGAATCTCTTTGTATTACTCTTAGACGGTAAAAAATACTTGATTACAAGTTTTTGTATTTTTTTACATAATTTTCTATTTATCATTTTATAGCCAGTTCTTGTTTTTTAGTTTTAGAATTATGTAAAAACCCATATAATATAAAAAATGGGCATGCTTTTAAATTTGCAAAATTTTCCCAAAAAGTAATGCACGTATTAAAATGCAGGGAGGGGTAGATATTGTCCTATTTGAGCTTTTTCACTTTCGGGCTTTCCCTTTCGAGCTTCCTCTCAAGACTTTAAAATGCAGGGAGGGGTAGATATTGTCCTATTTGAGCTTTTCCTTTTGGGCTTTCCTTTCGAGCTTCCGACTTTAAAACACAAGGAAGGTTTCACCCTTATAAATGGTGGTGGTTTGTTGGCTTTCCCTTTTAGATTTCCTCTCAAGACTTTAAAATGCGTCTGCTAAGAGAAGGTTTCCATACCATACCCTTAACCCTTATAAATGGCGACGGTTTGTTCTCCTTCTCAACCAATGTGGGACATCACATTTATTTATTTCAATGCTCATAATCTTATCTTTATAAATAATTTTAATTAAAATTCAATATTATAATCTTAGATGTAAATGTAAAAGATAAAAAACTTATTATTAGACATTTTTAAAAAATTACTATTTTATTGTATTTTATTTATTTATTTATTTCTTCTGTTGATAAAACTGTCCTTGGAAAAGGTCAACAAATAAGGCAACTCGTGACGGAAACACCAAAGAGTACTTTGAATGAGGATGGACCACTTTGGCACTGTTCGTCGATCTCTGCGAAAGATCTTTCCCACACCAAAAGAAAAAAAGAAAAAAAAGAAAAAAAAAGGTTTGTTTTATTTTATTTTCCAAACCATATGAAGGTAATCATAGATTATTCAAACAATGTAAAAAAGGAAATATAGCTTGTGAAAAAGATGCAAGCGAGATCACAGCACAGAGAGCCTTCCCTATCATCATCAAAAAATAGGCAGAGTAGCAGTACTGTCCTCATTTGCATCAATGTTATAAGTAGACTGTAAAAAGCCACCGTCAGTTCAGCGACTCCCGTGACTCATAAAACTTCTAAATCATGGCTTCGTATTTATCACTCGGTCCCATCTCTCCCTCTCTCTACTCCAAGTGAAAAACTCAAGTTTCTATATAACCAACCACCTTCTTTCTTCCTAGCTTAAAGGGGTTGGAGCTAACGCCAACACAGCTGAAGAGGTTCCTTGTTTTAAGGCAACTAAAACTGAGAAAGTGAGGTGGGGTTTGCTTTTTACCCTACTAGAAAGTTTGGCTGTGCAGCTAAAGCTTTGAACTGAGCGTCCATGGAAGGGTTTGAGAGGTTCGGTAAGAAGAGGGTGATGGTGGTGGTGGATCATTCATCGCAGTCCAAGCATGCTATGCTGTGGGCTCTAACTCATGTGGCTAATAAGGGTGATTTGTTCACTCTTCTTCACATTGTTTCTCACTCAAACAAGCTCTCCGAAACTCCTGATTCTTCTTCTTTTCTTGCTAACTCTCTTGGCTACCTCTGCAAAGCTTCTAGACCTGAGGTATACGTTCTTTATTTTGGATAAATATCCTCCTAATCTTTCATGGGTTTGGCTGCATCTTCTGTCTCTACAACATTTTTTTGCTTGAATGTATTATCATCCTGCAGACTCAAGATACATGCATGTAATTTCAGTTTGAAAATGATTAAGAAGTAACAGTTCGTAGACACTTAATTCATAGAAAAGGTTAAAGATTTGATTATGGGTTATCAAGTTATCTAATTTCTAAATCTGTCTCACTGGAAAAGTATGTGCGAGTATATATATGGGCCACATGGGGAACAGCTTTATAAATTGTGTTATCTTTAATCTGGTGGTTTTCACTTCCAATGCATGTGTTCATAACAAATAAGATAAGGGGAAAAGACAAAGGCAAAGAGCATGGTAAGGAGAGAAATCTCGAGATGCCTAAGCCACTGGCTATACCAACTAAAGTGTTTTCCTAGTGCTCCTCCATTATCCAGATTCATCTTCGCAAAAGAAAAGAACGAACCATTTTTTTAAGTCTTAATTACAGATGAGTGCAGTTTTGGGTTCTGTGGGTGATTTTAATTTTGGTTCAAAATTTCAGGTGGAAGTTGAGGCACTGGTGATTCAAGGCCCAAAACTAGAGACAATATTGAGCCAAGTGAAGAAGCTTGAGGCATCTGTTTTGGTGGTGCCCCAGAAAAAGCCTTCTCTGTTTGGGTGGTGGGTCCCAACCTCTTTCTATCATTTTTATATACTGGCTTTGTCATTCAAACAAGTAAACAAAAGTTCAAAAATAATAATGTCACTATTTTGTTTCTATATTTTCAAATGTTCACCCTCCTCTATAAGTACAGATATTAAATTTAGACATTTGATTAAACTGGATGAAACTGTACTAAACATAAGATAAAGGAAAAGGTTTGAATGATGATTACTAACCTGGTCGACATTGTCCTTTTGTATTGCAGCTTCTGTGGGACCAGCAGCTCAGAGCAGCTTGTAGAACAGTGCATCAGCCATGCAGATTGCTGTACAATTGGGGTTAGAAAACAGACCTATGGGATGGGCGGTTACCTTATCAACACCAGGTGGCAGAAGAACTTCTGGCTTCTTGCTTAGTTCTCTAGCTTTTACAGAAAAAAAAAAAAAAAAAATCACTGAACTAAAATCTCATGTTTAACCTGTCATCATCCATCATGTTAGCTCTAATCTTAATCTCAACTCTGTAACTAAAAGCTACTCAAGCTTAGATGCCTTTCACATTGTTGAACATTTCATCAAAGTCGAATGAATGCCTTCTTCCATGAGCATTTTAATACTCAGAATTTCAAATCTCAGTCCAATAGGATATAAAGATTGAGCAATTCAGATGACTTTGAAAAGCAGGATAAGCAATAGAGCAAGGGAAGTTGTGATGAAGTTTCAGAGACGTCACAGACCTGAAAATTCATTCTGTTCTAGGTTCTAGAATTTGAATAGAAAGAGAGACTAAAGAAGAAAATATTTGGAACTCTGGCAATAACAGCCTCTTTAATCAGAGACATAAGATAACTACTCATAGAAAAGGTAATACCAGTCGCGCATAAATATGCTAAAGCTACAAACAACAAATAGATGGAGGGGAGATGGAGGGGAGATATAGATATAGCATTATGAATGGAAAAAAGAAAAAAAGTTGAAGTCGCCTAAAGCAAGTGGACAGGACGAACATGCCACGAGTATTCTGGTGTTATATTCTTTTGGATTCCTCTTCTCTACTACCGGTGTGTCAACTACCAAGAACCTCAACTGCGACACTAATTAGACCTTATCATCTAATTTGTCATTTACAAGGGGGAGCAGCTCCATCCGACTCCGAGGGGTCCGAGGCGTTCGAGGGGTTCCAGGTGGCTGCTGTGAGAGAAGGTGTCTTACATAGCCATAGAATGTACAACCCAGGAGCGTAATTGCACATCCAACTGCATTTAACATTGAAATTGGGTTTCGAAATATCGACCATGAAACGAGGACAGCTACAGCTACCTGGCATAATGAAAGCTCAAATGTGACTCACCAAAGTATTATACCAAGAAAGGAAATCTTTTATAGGGAAGTTAAGAAAAAACAAAGGAATTATAATGATCTTTTAGACTATAATCCAGATGAGGTCATAAGAAAGCATTGATTCCAAAAGGTAAAAATCAAGTTGCCTGGTCAGTATCGTTGGCAAGGATGATGTATGCAGATAACTGGAACACAATAATCTTACCTTAAGGTTTCCAGCAACATTAAACGTCACAGCAGTTGTGGAATGAATCACATAAAATATGGAGAAGTTAAGACAGAAGGCCATCACCCCAGAGCCGAAAATGATGATGAGGGACGAGCATACAAACTGGTGTGTGTGAAGCCAATCAAGAACCCCATTTCCTTCAAGGAGCATTGCAGGTACTGCCAAGATCATGGTTGCAAAAGGTGCCATATAATACACCGTATTAATGCTGGTGTGTCAAAAAGAAAACGAACACCAAAGTTCAAACATTATTAGCAACAAAAGAACAAAGAATCATTAGAACAGAATCACTGTTCGTTCGAAAGTAGAGAATCAATGGAAAATAGCAACTAGCAGGGGAGGGGGAAGAAGGAATAATATGAGAAAGAACGGGTTAATATGAAAAGATTTAAAGGTTCATTCACCATGTCATATTATAATTAATGGAGGAACGAGCCATTTAATTTAACCATCCATGCCAATATAGTACATGTACATCGAAGAAGGATACAACATGGAACACAAATGTGCAGTATTAAACAAAACATGGCTGCAAAAAGGAGCATGATGTGTGCATATCCAGAACATACTTGCAGCCATTCGGATGTTCAATATAAGGATTATAAGTATAAAATCAAGATTACAAAAAGGAAGACTAAATAATAACAATAGTTCTTCATTAAATGCATCTCAATAATGCAACACCTTATGACGAATACTTATAAAGAAAAAAAAAATCAGTAAATTTTTTAATGATTCAACGTTCTATATCAAAAACATTGAAAGAAAATTCAAAATCACATGTATTCGTACAATTATGTAATTTTAAAAGGTATCCATAATTGGTTCCATAATTAATTTCAATATTCATTACTATCTAGTTGTCTTTGTCTTTTGTTGTGAAGGAGGGCGAAAACGTGCCTCAGTGCCACAACATATGCAACTTAGTAGACAAGAATAGTAATAAAAAATATAATTTGAGCGACTGATGAGTATCAGAATGTCAAAGCCAGGCAGAGATTGACACTAACACACTAACTAAGCTGAGGTACTCGTGATTCCCATAATAAGAATCCACTTTTGCGTTTTTAGTAAAAAAAGGAGGATGCGAGGAAGGTAACTGACCGCGTGGTATTTTGATACCATTGGCAGGAATCAATAGAAATTAAAAAGGGTTGAATCGCTAAAGAGAGAATAAAACAGTCTGGAGCAAAAAAAAAAAACCCAATAATGGCAGAATTGATCTCCAGAAGTAGCAGCGTTTTCTTTAGACTCAAAGATGAGGCAAAAAAAAAAAAAAGAGAGAGAGAGAGAAAGACAGCTAAATGAAAAAAAGTGGTAAAAACTGAATATTAATGAAGAAAGTACATGAATGAAATTTACCTCGCTGGAACTGTGCTACTAATTCAATGTAGTCTAGAGAACACCATCAAGTTTTTTTTCCAATTCATCCAACAAAAACTAGCGACGGCTTCATGCATATGAATATGTCCTATTTGGAAGTCTTTGCAGGTTTTAATTTATATTTGACATATGTCTATAAGATAACCGAGGGCGGCCTAGATGAGATTCGGCTGTTCTGTATCTATGATATGAATAACAAATACCAAGCTACTGCTTCCAATATCTGCACAAGTTACCCCAACAATTGAGCTAGGCAGATGCAGTGCTCGGCTTGTCACTTTCATCCTCCTAAAAGTAGAGCCTCCATTTTGATTGAGCTTAAAATGCACACTAGAAACCTTTGTTCAATCAATCGCACCACCATTACGATATAAATAATATAATCTTACTAATTCCATAAACGATACTTGGTTTCAAAATCGAAAAGGTTTCATAAACGATAACGAACACATCAAAGATCTATACATTAAGGTTAACTATAATTTGGGGTTTTCAAGCAATAACACTCTATAATTCAAGGATCTATCTAAACCCAGAAAAAAAAAAGCGACAAGCAGGAAATCAGGATGAAACTTGGTTTAAAAAGAAACACTGAATCAAAAAGAATTAACCACGCATAAATGCTGTACCTGTCAAACTTGTATCCATGTAATAAGGATTCTGCAAGGATGGTCTTTGTGGAGGTAGCTAAACAACCAAATAAGGCAGCACAAAATCCAAGCATATTAAAGCTCATCTCAGTCACAGAAGTAAGAAGAATTCCTCCAACAATAGGTATCAGAGATGCCCATATTCTCCAGTCAAAGTACTTTCTCCATACGAGCCATTGCAAGACAACTGGTAGAACGAATTGAATTGAAAAAATTAACCCCACAATTTAAAATTGAAAATCTCGAAATGAAAAACTAAGAACAATGACAAACAACATATAATCAGGAAGCAATTTGAATTCAAAACCGCACCAGTGGTTGCAGGAGTGAAGGACTTTATTGTCTGCATAAAAGAAACCGGAATATAACGCAAGCTCACATTCCCCAAAACTATGTTAATACAAAACACAAACGACATGGGGAATATCCGTCTCCACCGATCTTCAGGGTCAACAGAAATGAGCGGCTTAACCTTCAACACTTTAATCGCGATATACGCTCCAATCGCAGAGCAGATGAAGTGAATACAAGACACTGTTAGAGGAAATTTAAAATCCAATTTCTGCAGAAAACAAATAACAGATCAATTCACAACCAACGTAAACATCTAACAAATAATCAATCTAGAAACAAAAAGTGAAGAAATGGAAGAAAGGAAGAAATGGCGAAATTCAGCACAGACCTGAAAGATCCACTTATTCATGATAATGACGGTAACATTGAAACCCCACCATTGAAGAATTGCAACGAGAGATCTAATGGTGCTCCACTGACACAACCAAGCCTCCTCCATCTCTCTATCTCTCTCGCTCTCGCCTCAGACCCCAGATCACCCAGCGCAAACTCCCAATTACACCGAAATTCTCTCAATTAAAGAAAACTCCACCTGAATTCCAAATTCGAAACCACTCAATTCAGCAACCTTAAAAAATTGGTTTAGCAGCTAGAAGTTAAGAGTATAAGAAACGGATGAATTTGCGCCCAACAACGCAATAAGCATGCTTCCGCCGAGGATCGCACTCCTCTTTCTCTCTCCAATTCAAATCCGAACAACGCTTCACTTCGTCGAGCCCATAGCTCGAGCTCTCTTTCATTCCAAAGCTATGGCTATGGCGATTGATCGAGAAATCGAGAAATTGAGAATTGGAATTTGGCGCTGTCCATGGCTTCTCTTCGGCCTTTTTATTTTCCCCAAAAACAAACACAGGGTCTTCGTCTTCTCTTCTCAAAAGCCCGCCCCAAAAGTCATGGGGGATTGTGGATCCCATTCGCCACGTGTCATTTCCTTAAGGCACTTCGCCACGTCAGACAATCTCACCCGTTCGTTTATTGTTCTTGACGGATTACAGAACGTTGACCCATCTCTCAACCGTTGGATGACTTTTTTGTTTTTCAAAATAATAATAATAATAATAATAATAATAATTTGCTTCTTTTTATTTTCTCCTTTTAATTTGTTTTTCTTTTTGAAACATTACGGATGCGCTGGCACTGGTAACGCCGGAATCTGATTAATTAATTAATTAATTAATTTCATTATGGGACCGGTTTCACTAGTAATGGCTGCACCTTATCTTTCCCCTTTTAATATTTTATTTATTAATTTATTAACTTTTTTTTAAAAAAAATATATTTTTTCTTATCCATCTATCAAATTATTGATGGAAAAATAAATAATTTGAAATTTTATAAATAAAATAAAATAAATGAGATATATATATTTATAATGTTTATAGTTAATGCAAGCGTTAGGTAGTTTAGGGAAAATTAATTATAGAAGTGGAGTTTAATTTGATGGTAATACGGGAAATTAATGAAACATTATTAGCCAATTGGAGTGGGTTTTAAATTAAATTAAATTAAATTAAATAGATGCGTTAGTTTCAAGATAAACCCTAAATTTGGTTGAACTAAAATTTTAAATTAAATTGCATTTATTATTCTTAAATATAATTTGTTCATAATTCATAGTTTCTTCACATGGGTGCAAATGAGAGGTGGAGTTTCAATTATTATTATTATTATTTTATTATTACTCGCATTTGAAAAGGTAATTTAGACATTTACGTAAGCAGTAATAATGTATTTTAATATTATATTATGAAATTAAAATTTAATTAATTAATTAATTAAAATTTTTAAGGGGAGGTGGGCGAGATCTGAGAATATGGCATCAAAGAGTCGGCCAATTGTTTGGTCAATTTCTTAGGAAGCAAAATAGCTTTATTTTATTTTATTTTTTATTTTATTTTTTAATTTTAATAATGTAATGTGATTAAAAAATGTATGCGTTAAGTTAGCATGCGTATAGAGCACGGTAAGGATGGAAAAGCCTTTCTCATTCTCGTTTCTGCCACCTATTTCATTCTCTATCTCTGTTAAAAAATATATATATATATATATATATTTATTTATTTTTGTAGGAAAGGAGACCGTTACCTATTTCATTCTCTATCTCTAAAAAACAAAAATTATTTATTTTGATGTGAAATGAAGCGGGGATGGAAGTCTCCCTGCTAGGTGAATTTTAAAATTTTCATTTTTTCAATATAATATTTATTACAAAATTATAAAAATCATAATAAATTAATATATTTAATAAACACATATAAAGAAAACTATTATATTTACAATATAGTCATATATCTTTCATAAAAGTTTCAAAAGTCGTTGCAGTAGTGACTTCTTACGTTGGCTTTTCATCCAACATTGTAATGAATTTTTATTCCCAACGAAATCTGAATCGTAAGGTAACGACCACATAGAATCAGTCCACAGCTCAAGTGTACTGACTAAAACTAGAAAGAATATCACACAAATGAGGAGATGAGCATGGAGGTTTGTCATAAAACCTGCTCATTACCATCACTCAATAAAATACATAGGTTCAGGTTTGACATGAACAGAAGCAACATAGTAACAAAATCTCCTTAAAAACATTTGGATAACAAATTCAAAGATGAAGGATGAACTTGGCGTCGTTCGTCGTTCAATCCGCACGAGATTGACCCGCCCGAGAAGAGAGAATGATACCAACAATAAGACCGTAGAGGGCAAGAGCTTCAGCAAAGATGAGGATGAGAATCATTCCAACAAAGAGCTTAGGTTGTTGTGCATTGGCCCTGAGTGCATCAAAGTACAGAAGCCGATAAAACATGTGAGGGAGGAGCTAGAATATGATTTGTATAACTAAGTAATGAACCAGAAAGAGAACAGAAAATGATCTGTAAATCATGCAGCATCTTGCTATCATTATCCAATGCTCTAGAAGACAAAAAGTAATGAAAGAAGAAACAAACACAAACACTAACACTAAAGAATGGGAAAAATTTTGCGAACGGCCCAGATCCACCGCTAGCATATATTATCCTCTTTGGACTTTTCCTTTTGGGCTTCCCCTCAAGGCTTTAAAACGCGTCTATTAGGAAAAGGTTTCCACACCCTTATAAAGGGTGATTTGTTCTCCTCCCCAACCAACGTGGGACATCATAGGAACAGTATAAGCCAGCCTCAATGCCTAGTCCCAAAATTCTAGTTCAAGTTACTATTCTCAAATTCTAACCTTCTAACACATTCGATGCCGAAGCATAACGAATTCGAACACTAGACCAATTATTATCCACCTTAAATAACATTTGAAACTTTGCAAAGTTGTAGCATTTATCAAATTCAGGACTCAGAAACATAGCTATTCAGGGTAATTAACAGCCAAAAGGGTTATAGAGAGTATAAACATTACCGAACACCGGCATCGCCAACAATCCCAATTGCCATTCCTGCAGAGAGACCAGCAAGACCACAAGCAAGTCCAGAAGAAAGATGAGCATACCCATCAAACAAATAGTATGACTTTGCTTTTGGGTTTATTCCAGTACTAATAATAACAGCGATGATCAACCCATAAATACCCAACACTCCTGCCATGACAACAGGAACAATAGATTTCATGACGAGCTCGGGCCTCATAACTCCCATGGAGGCCACTCCAACTCCACTCTTTGCAGTCCCATAAGCAGCACCCATGCCTGTAAAAAAGAAAGTATTAGCGCCAGTTTCTTTATACTACGACTTCAACTGGATAGTTGGGTGCTCCAGTTAGGAAAAGATAGGTCTCGTCAACATGTTTATGCATTAATTTGATGGGAAAAAAAGCACACACACACACAACAGATCCTTATATGTTGCGATGGAATACATAGTACAAAAGGCATTAGAAGAAGTATGAACCAATTTTACCAAAAAGGCAAAAACCTTTGGACCATCTTCGAGAGGGCGAGTAATCCAGATTCTCAGGCTATTTCTCTCAGAGATAAAGAAACACTGGCTCTAAATTGGGTCGGAGTTTCCAGGAGTGAATTTTATTTCGTCAGAATCACTTATTAGCAAGATCAAACAAAAAAGAAAAAAGTAAATAAATAAATACAAAGAGGAACAATAAAACACATCTTTGCAGTCGGAAGCTTAGCATATCTAACCCAATGATAGAAACGGGAAATGGAATGAAAAATGAGAGTAAAACAGTATAGGATCCAGTCCGATCGGCCACAGGATCGACCAAATCTCCCCATATCATCTCGTTGCAAATTAACCCAATTTCTAAAAGTAGAACAGGAAAATAGATTCACGCCATTTAAATCCAAGAAACCAAAGAAAAAAAAAATCCAATTAGGCCAATCACAAAAGATTCATCCCCGTCAACTGAGCCTCCTCAAACTTCATTATCCCAATTGAATTCCCATCTTAAATCAAATTCAATCAGCGGACAAACTGGAATTACACCCTTAGAACTAATCTAATCGATCCATGCCGCATCGCAAACAGAAAAATGGAAAGTAAAAGAAGATAGAGATGCGAAATTTACAGGAGAAAACAAGAGCTGCAGCGGCCCCAAGGAAGCCGAAGAACGGAGCAGTTTCATCGCCGCTAAAAGTAGACGCCATTGGATTAACAACCGATATTAGCTTCGGAATCCGATCCCGGTTCTCAACGCTCCGGCAAGCTTTTCTAGGGCTTGTTTTTGTTCTTCTCTAGATGAAGATATAGCAAAGGCCGGTGATTCGGGAAATATAAGCTGGAGAAGGCGAGTAGAGTAAGAGGAGAACAGTCGATGAATCAAGTGAAAGTACCATAATACCCCTCCTTTTTATCCGTATTTACCGTAAGTGATGTGGAACGTGTAGCCACGGGAACCTTGGGACTTGGGCTGTGGGATTCTGGTTTGTGTTTCATCCAGGGAGTTTTATGGAATATTTTAAAACAATACGTGTATATATTTATATTCATTTATTTTTAAAATAAAGAATTAATAAATAATTTAATTCCGTTTTATAGTATATAGTGTATTTTTATTTCATTTTATTATTCGAAATAATATTCTTCGCTGAAAAATAAATCATTTGTCAGAAATTATATTTTTTTAAACATAGTAATAACGATTTTGCCTCTATTCTAAAGTATTTCTTTTTTATTTTTAATTTTTTTTGAAAATTCATAAATATTTTTTTAAAAATTACAAAATTTAAGGATATTTTTTTATTAATATAGCGTGTTTATATATTTTAAAAAAAATTTGTTAAATAATGATTTACCTTCTTTGGCAGTATAAAGATAATTTCCCACCAGTGGAAAAAAAAAAGTAAATGGATTATTTATTTGCCTTAAAATGAAAATAAAAAAATATATAAAAAAAGATTAGGTCCTACCGGGAGTCGAACCCAGGTCGCTGGATTCAAAGTCCAGAGTGCTAACCACTACACCATAGAACCTGTTTTGAGGGAGAAATTATAAAATTTTAAATGACTTCATTAAATATTCATATCAAATATTTATAAACTCTATAATTTTAATAAAATCAATTTTTTGCTCTCAAAATTAAGGTTGACCAAGCCATAAATTATCAACACAAATATAGTTAAATTGTTAATGACTTTCCTGACGTGGAATGTTTATCCACGTTGGATTAAATGGGTGTGATTTTCCACGTAAGTATTTTTATTTTTATCTTTTTTCACAAAAGAAATATGTGGCATTTATTTATTTATTTATTGTTGAAAAGGACACGGCGCGTTTGGCAATAATTCCCAGATATATAATTTAAAACAAATAAATAAAAAGAAAAAAAAAATAGATGCCGAGTCAAACCGGAGACCGTTAGCGTGTCAGCTAATTTACAGGCAATGTCGGTACGATTTAATAGATGGAGGAAATAAATAATAATAATAATAATCCATATTATAAAATAAAAATATGCTCAAAATTAGATTATATTAAATACATTGTAATTTTATAAAATTACAATAATTCCACGTCAGCAATAGATTAATCAAGGATTGACCATGCCACATGGACTAACTAATATCTCTTGAATTTAAAAAATAAATTAAGATATTAATTATCATCGATGTAATTTAATTAATATAAAATCTTAATTTTGATGATTTAATAATTATGAAAAATATTATGTTATATTTATGAAAAAAAATTTAAAGAAAGTTTGTAATTTTTTGTAATTAAAAAAAAAATATTTGGAAATAGAAATATACCAATTAATATTACCCCACATAATAATTTCCTTTTTTTTAGAAAATTTAATTCAACGTGAAGGGTCTCAATCTATTTTTTTTTTTAATATAAAAAACCATATTTTTCCTTTATTATTATTATTTTTGTTTCCATATATTTCTTCAATTTCTGTTCTTCAAGCAGCGGTTGTTCTTCCAATTCACCACACTTCGTCTCTTAGAAACTGCGATTTTTCTCTTAGGTCACATCTTCTGTTATTGTTTCGAGTTCGCTAAGATTAACTCCGAACTTGTTCATTATTGTTGTTTGTAACCGCGATTCGTCGTTTACGACCTCGAAATCTCCGTCGACCGTTGCAGCCAGCGTCGGAGTCAGTGTCGTATTCTGAACCGGAGGAATGACGCAGTCGCCGGATTTCGGAGGCGATTACACCGACGGAACTCACCACGTACAGTCCTTTTCGTCGACCTCTCTCTACTCTTCTTCGTCTCGCCGAGATGTTTATTACAGGTTCAATTTAATCTCTGGCTTATATCGCTTACTGTGTAGTTAATATTTAGTTCTACAAATATCTGTTTCTGCTCTACTGGTCTCTGAATTACTTTTTTTTCGTTCTGATCGGAGGGGTGAGTGAAATTCCCCGATTTCTTGGTTTTTACCTTAATTTAATCGATTTCGAACTGATTGGTATTTCGGGAGTTGTGATAGCTCTTTGATACGATATGATCCGACTGATTTGGGTGTAAAATTTACTGAATTAGGTTCCATAGGATAGTAGTCGAGGGGAATTCGAAAGATTTAAGGAAACAGTGAAGTTATATATGGGGTTTCTGCGTTTAAATTGGAATTGGAGAAGAGTATCAATAGCTGTAACAGTGCAGAAGCAGCGCACTGATTGGCCTGACCTGTTTTGAAAATTCCTGTAGTTATTAGCATGATGGAGATGGCTGGTGTTCTTCGAATTTGATGAATTTATTTAACCCAATTATAGAGGAACACAGTTTAATATTGAGATGTGATGAGGGGTTATTGATTGAGCTTGAGACTTGACCTACCTGTAAACTTCCACCCGTAATAATATCACTCTGCCATGTGGTTGACTTGGATTGTATATTGCAGTTCCTTCTTTTTCATGTTTAAACTCTTCCTTCTACTTTCTCTGGTAGCTAAGCTATACATCAATTCTCATGGTCCACTAAGAAAAAAGAGGAACAACTACCAATGGTGCTTTTATGAAAGAGTTTGACTAGTATGACCTTTTTGTAGATTAGGGGTTAATACAATCTCGATAGTATTGAACCTAAACCCAATTCCCACGTTCCATGAAGAAAACGAGAGGAACAACTACCCAATGGTGCTTTTATGAAAGAGTTTGTCTAGTATGACCTTTTTTGTAGATTAGGGGTTCATACAATCTTGATAGTATCGAACCTAAACCCAATTCCCCCGTTCCACGAAGAGAACGAGAGAAACAACTACCCAATGGTGCTTTTACGAAAGAATTTAACTAATATGACTTTTTTTTTTAGATTAGGGTTAATACAATCTTGACAATATCAAACTTAAAAATCTACTTTCGGTTGCTCTTTCTAGTGGGGAGGACTTTTGTAGACGTATATGCAATTTGTGATTGTGATCCCGACTCAGAGGATGTCCCAAGAAGACGACCAAAGAAAAGGGTTATATACTTTCATTGAGATAATGTGCCTAGAATCCTTCTTATAACTTCTTAAAAACGCCTTAGACTGATCCAGACAACAAATGAATTAGTCATGATCCTCTCATTTCATGGCACCTTGTCATAAACAAGCCCTGTTTCTAGGGAAGATAAAGTTGATAAATCTAATTGGGAATCCTCCAAATCCTTATTTTTCTTAGTTGGCGCCTAAATTGCCACTGGCCAATCATATTTGCATTTCCTGTTTGCTTTTTGGTCAACTTATAATGACAATGGTTTACTTCATGCAGCTGTGGTGCTTGTGGATATGAACTGAACTTGAGCTCTTCTAACCGCAATACATCGACCATTGGCTCTAAATATGGTAAGTCGATAAAGCGAGGGATCATATCGTTTCTAAACGTCGACGATAGCAGATTTACTCAGGTTGATGAACTTCAGTGTGTGCCTCATTTCTCGAAGCACTCTTGGGGTCTGTTTCGTCGAAGAATCAAACTACTGTGTCGAAAGTGTGAAAACCATATTGGAAATGCTGACACAAGCCACACTTTCTCCACCCCACTTGTTTCAGATGGATCAGATTCATCTTTCCCCAGTGAAGTCTCTAGGTGTACGAAATATGAAGTTAAAATCCGTGCCTTACAACCCTCATCTTCACACGAATTTGACCCCTCAGTTATTTAAACAACGGGACAAGGCTTTACTGAATGGGTCCTCCTCCGAGTGTGCTATTTACTTGTGAATAAGAATTGGGTCTGAAATGGAAGCAAGTGTAATTGAAAGGATTCACAGCTATTGTTCCTGCCAACTAAAGGATGATTTATACGTGGGAGTTGTTTCGAAGCTACTGATGTTTTTGCCTTATTTTTCGTTTTGCAAAGAAGCATTGTTTAATGTGGCTTTATCGAAGTAACTTATAGGTTAAAGTTATAAATTTAGTCTTCAAATTCTTAGGTTTGTATTTATTTGGTTTCTAAGTTTTAAAACGTGTCTATAATAGTTCTTTGAACTTTGAAATTTCATATTCAGAACTTATAAAAATGACTCCATTAGATATAAGACCTTAACTTTTTATTTTATATTTAGTAGGCTCGAAACAGGAAATCATTAACTCAATTGATACAAAATTGAAAATTTCAAAGACCTATTAAACATAAAATTGAAAATCTTAAAGACCTATTAAACATACACGTAACATAAAATAAGAACAAATTTAACGTAACATAAAATAAGAACAAATTTAACGTAACATAAAATAAGAACAAATTTAACCAAACCTCTATAAGCTGGCTCAAACCTTCGAGGCAAAAGAGGTAAGAATCAGTTAGAGCAATCTGAAAGATGTTCAGAACAGATACAAGTTGAGTTTCGATTTGATTGTCACCAATAACTTAGCACTGACACATTTACAGTTGAAATGAATCTGAACTAAACGAATAAGATCTTTTACATATCATCAAACAAGATTCATACATATTTAATCACATAAAACACATCACAAATATAACACTACAGAAACAAAACTGATGCCTTTCTCATTTCTTATTAAGAGTCAGTCAAAGTCCAGTATTCGTGAATATAGTTGAAGACAATCTTGAAAAATGTTTAATAGAAGCAAACCAGAATCACAAGACAACCTAGGGAAACGTAGTGGATAATAAATGGAGATGATGAATCCTGGACAACCAACCTAATTCCAAGGATGGATAGTTTCTCCATGTCCAAGTTGTGCACAACTTCATCAGGCATATAGTTTTTTGAGGTCTTCTGAGAATTCCTTCCTAATTATTTCTCTTTTGAGCTTGAGAGCTGCAGTAACTAGCCCAGATTCTGGAGTCCATGGGTTAGATAGCAATTTGATCTTTGCAGGG